GCCTGGCAAAAATAAACTTCTTCTTCTTTTTTTTTTTTTTAAATTACCCATTCCCAGGGATTCGGTTATAGCCACAGAACATGGACTAAGATGAATACCTTAGGACTGAGGAGTCAAAGGTTTTCTACAAATTCTTGCTGCAGACCTCCGGGCAGAGGGTTAGACTGGGAATCCATCACATCAGTCTGACTCATCTCCACAGGAAGGTTTAAGAGAAGAAGTTCCAGACACATGAGCCTTCTCATCCAAAGAAATACTCAGAGCAGCTGGGCATGGTAGCACATGCCTTTAATCCCAGCACTTGGGAGGCTGAGACAGGAGGATCATGAGTTCAAAGCCAGCCTCAGCAAAAAAAGTGAGGTGCTAAGTAACTCAGTGAGACCCTGTCTCTAAATAAAATACAAAATAGGGCTGGGTATGTGGCTCAGTGGTGGAGTGCACCTCAGTTCAATCCTCGGTACTGTCCCCTCAAAAAAACCGCAAAAAAAAACAAAAAAAAAAAAGAAACAGAGCAAAGATCACCAAAGAAGAGTAATTTAATTACTCATCAAAGAAGAGTAATTTTTTTTTTTTTTTTGCTTGCTGGGGATGGAACCCAAGTCCACGTGCAGCCTATGTTCCACCAGCAAGCTAATGCACCCCTACAATATTTAACCTTGGATGATTCTACACCAAGTGGCCCAAAGAGGGAAATGGTTCTAACAACCGAAAATGCCACCATTTGTAGTACAAGCAGGTTCACCCTCATGCCTGCAGGAAACCATTCTCCAAGGAGCTCAAAGAGCTTTGGGGATGACTCTTATTCAAAGCACAATGATCTCCCTGTGATGCCATGGCTCAAGAAGAGCCTCAAATAAATTTTATCAAGCCCCTTCCCAGTCCACCTGACCAGAAACCCCCAGCTCCGGGGAGCTCCTGTGACCCGTGAGCAGGGCCAGCAGAGGTGCTGGAGGGTGGGCCTGAGGAAGTGGGCGGCAGCTCAGGGCAGTCCCTACACCTGCCCACGGCGCTGCCAGGAGAACTCCAGGAAGCCCTGTTTTCTCCATTTCCAGTTGAATAAACTGCTCTGAATTAACTTTCCATTGCCGTTTCAGGGGCAGGGGTGACTTGAGCTATAGTAAAGGGCATCCAGGAAGACTCAGCAGTCAGCTGGTTTTCAGTGAAGGAGAAAAGCAAAAGCACTTTCCAATAATGAATTTATTCAACCTGAAGAAATGTCCTTGTTTTTTCTGCCTCATTTGTTGACACACTCTGGGGTTCAGGTCCTGACATCTATGCACCTAAGACAGTGGTGATTCAGGTGACACCTAGTGCAAGTTACCTGGCACCTTCTTGGAGCCAGGCGGTTCTGAGCCTGCCACTTCTCTTTCTTGGGGTGCCCTCCTCACTCCATCTTGCCTTATCAAGTCTGGGCTTCGCCAAGAGCAGGGTTTGATGGCCAAAGCCAGTGGGTTTGCTTCCCAGGCTGGTCACAACAAGCTGCCCATCAGGTGGCTTCAAACCACAGGAGGTGCTGTCTTATAGTTTTGGGGGCAGGGAGTCTCACATCGAGGCAGGGCAGTCGAGCTCCCTTTGAGGGTGCCAGGGAAGGGCTTTCCTTGCCTCTTCTACGTCTGGCTGCTGGCTGACATCGGCTCCTTGGCTTGTGGCCGTCACTCAATCTCAGCCTCCACCGGAATGTCACATCCTCTCTGTGTGAGTCTGTGTCCTTACCTCACAAGGACAGCAGTCCCTGCATTAGCCCACCCTACTCCAGTATGACCTCATCTTAACTCTGTCTGCAGAGAGCCTGTGTTTTTATCTTTCTCCTTGCTGTGACCAAAGACCTGACAATAGCAAACAGAGGAGGAGAAGTTTATCTGGCTCACGTTTACAGACTCACTCATGTAAATGGCTGCCTCCTTGTTCTGAGGCAGAACCTCATGGTGGAAGGGTGTGGAAGAGGAAGGCAGCTCAGGACATGGCCATCAAGAAGCAGAGAGCTCTGCTCATCAGACAAAATATAAACCCCAAAGGCACAGGCCCAAGGACCGCCTCCTCCAGCCATACCCCTCCTGCCCACAATTACCACCCAGTTAATCCACTCCAGTGAATTAATGCACTGATCAGGTTAAGGCTTTTAAAACTCAATCACTTCCCCTCTTAGCTTTCTTGCATTGTCCCACACCTGAGCTTTTGGGAGACACCTCATGCCTACATCATAACAGCCTGCTTCCAAATAAGGTCACACTCACAGACTCCGGGGTTCAGGACCTAGACATGACTTTGGGACACGATCCAACCCGCAGCGTCCCACAGGGACACAGGGTTGACAGCAAATGTCCAGTGATTCTCCTGATCACTTGGTAAATACACGATGCCGCACTGTTTTCAGAGGGAAGCACAAAATGAAAACTCTAAGAAAATAATATAAAAACGAGCCTAGGACCAGCAACTCACATGGTCCTCTCTCACAAACAGGCCTCCTACAGAGGCACATCTGCTCACAGGCAGTCTGTTAGCGTTCTCTATTCCTGAGTTTCCATCACACTGTCTGGCACCCCTGCCACGTGTCCTGAACAACATGTTTAGCTCCATCCTGAACATCACTGCTGGTTTCAGGAATTCCTTGGGGACAGGGTACAAGCCCCAGGCCTCAGGTCGCTGGGGCACAGGTCCTTGGGGAGGCCCAGCAACACTCCACAGGGCCTTCAGAGGTTGTGGACTTTACATCTGGGAGAACCTTGTTTCAGATTAGTGGTACTTGGACTGAGCATCTCTATTCCCCTCTGTTTGACACTTTGATTCTGTGTCATGATATTACACAACCTAGAGCACTGTCCACGTGGCAAGGGGCCTCTGAGCTAGCACATGTGGTCTCCACCGTCCATGGCAGGTGCAGTAATAGCCTGAACATGCTAATGAAGTGGTGGAACTGAACCCTTGGCAGCACATCCCAAAGTGGCTCTCCCCTCTTGGTCACAGACCATCGAGCTTCCAGAGCCCCCTTACACAGGAAAGGATGGTCCCAGAGTACAAGGAACTCAAAGGCCAGGCAGACACTCCTTCAGCAAGAGGCAAGCGTTCGAGAGGAGGGGACATGAGGCTTTACTTCGAGGAACAGTTTCGTGCAGACACAGCCATACCTGAAGGGCCAGTCAAGGCCTTGGTTTAAGGTGACCTTAGGTTGGCAACTTCAACCACCATGCCAGCTTTTTTTTAGTTTCCTTTAATTCCTCCACTGGAGGAGAGGATTAAATCCAGAGGGAGTGAGAAGTAATATCCATTTGGAGGGGCCATGGAATCACACTAATGGCCCTGTCTCTCACTGAGCCCACTGGCTCCTTGGTCCTGCCATGCCCAGCACGCCCAGCATATTGTCAGGACTGCAGCACTTCCTGTGAGAAGCTCTTTCCCCACTGATTCATGACAACCCCCCACACTCCAAGCCCTCTTCCTGGGTGACCTGCCCCTCCCAGTGTTCCTGACCCAGAAGATGGGTGTGGCTAGGGAGCAAGAAGCTCAGAGGAGCACAGGTGAGATGGCACATGAAGGTTCTCTGCGTGGACAGGTCTGACTGGCTCTCCGCAGAACCAGACGGCAGGAGCCACCTGGGGGCTACCCACAGCCAACAACACAGTCCTAAAGAAGCCAGTGGCTGCAGGATTCCCTCAACTTCTAGGGACAGATGTCAGGCCCCACTCACAGGAGCAGGGCAGTGCCAGTTGCTGGCAGAGGACCAGGTGCCCTTGAGCACTAGCGTGACACCCTTCCAGCTTCCCACCCTCTCAAAGTCGAAGCCCTCCCTAGGCCCCTCTGCCCCTCACCCTCCCAGACTATGGCGCTCAGATACATGCAGGTCTGGGCTGAGGTCCTGTGCTGCCTGGGCTCTGGCTGTGGGGCTGACACCTCCATGGCCCTGACCCTATGGGTCAGTGCTCTTTGCCATGTACTTGCAGGGATTACATTCTTCAGAACTCTTGCCTGGCTTTAAGTTATTCATCTGTTGGTGTCCAGCTGGACGTCCACACTCTTCCCCACTAGACTGTACACTGTGAGACCTAGCAGATGTCTGTGGTGTTTGTTTCTGCAGTGTCCAGAGCCCTGACAACATGGTCCTGAGGAAGCCCACAGCTGCAGGATTCTCAAAGTTCGATGCCTCCTCCACAAACCTCTGTGGAGGACAGGAGACACCTGCCAGGGTGGGAGCAAACCCACCAGGCCTAAGGTCCATATTTGCACACCTGAGCCTCTGGGACTGTCAGCTGTCACATCTGAAAGAGTGATCAGGGGTTGGCAAACTGGTCTCCACTCTGATACAAGGTTCAGATCCTTTATTCAAACCTAGTGGGTGGGAGCAACTTAGTATATAAATTGGAAAAGCTTTGATTTATCAAAAATAAATTTGCTTAGCACATCCATGTTTGTAGGGGAAACAAAGATTAAACAGACTGGGCTCTGCTTCCAAAGTACTCATGGTCATCAAAAGGAGACATGTTATAAATAGCCAGAAAGCAACCAAGAAAGGGCTGAGAGAGGGAGATGGATGAAGCCGGAGGTCACAGGAGAAAGATGGGTTGGTTAATCACTGCTCCCTCACTGTAATCCTGCTGCAAAGAAGCAAAGAAGGGAACTCCCAACCAGGAACAGGGATCTGCCCGGTCAGCGGACACCCAGAAACAGGTGCGGCCCTGAGCCTGCGGCCCTCACTGGGCACCAGCGGTGGAAATCAAATCTGGTTCCCACACCCTGCGCTGAATTAAATTCGGTAAGGAAAACCTAAGGGTGGCAGCGGGGCGCACGCAGGAAACCTGAGTCAGCCATCATCAGCCATATGCACTCCCAGACCGAGCAGGGCACCCTGACACCGGCTGGCTCTGCCACCCAGAGATCCTTCGCAAGATCCGTACCTGGCCCAGCCCCCTGCCCCGTCCGTCACCACCGTTCAAGAACCCAGACCCGCCTGGCTGGACACCCGGACACCCCGCGAGCCTGCTCTCCCGCCCCGCGGAAGGCCCTACCATAGGTCTCGGACATGGCGGTCTGCGACATCCTGGCCTCTCTCGCTGCTCAGCCGGGGTCTGTTGGGGTCCGGAGAGAAAACGAGGCGGGGACCGACCAGCGGGGCCGGGCGGGTGCCTATAGCTAGCGCCGGCCACCGCGCTGCGGCCCAGCCGGACTCGGCTCCGCGCATGCGCACGGCTGCCCCGCGGAGGAGCCAGGGAGCTGGGCGGAGGATGCAGGGTGTGCTGCGCTGTTGGGGCGGCGGCCCGAGCACGTGGGCGCCCAGCTGGTGTCTGCGGCAAGGCCTGCTGCAGAGCCTGAGGTCGGCCGGCCGGGGGGAATCGCGCGGAGGCCGTGAGTCCCAGAGGCCGGGAAGGACGTGGAGGAAGAGGAGCCCAGGCACCTGCACTGGGCGGTTCTTGTGTCAGATGCCGCGGCAGCACAGGATGTGGTCAGCCTCCCGCGGCTCTCAGCCCGAGCAAGCTTCCCTTATGTGGTAGTTGGATGCAGGATAACCCGCGGGAAGCAGAGCTCTTGGCCAGATCGTGCAGGCCTCCGGGCACCATGACGTGCAAGCCAAGAGTTCCCGAAAGAACTGACTCTGCGCACCCGTTTGGGGGGTCTGGGGGAACGTGCGTTCAGGGGAGGCACCACCTGGCCCTCAGGTGCAGGTGCGATTCAAGGTTAGGACTCCGGGAAAAACAACAACAACAACAACACCACCACACACACACACACACACACGCACGCACGCACGCACACACCAGTTCAGAATTTCCATTCTGTGGAAACGTGGAGAGACCTGGCCTAGTCCACGGCCAGGTCTCTCCCAGGGGCCGTCTTGGTGAGGGCAGCACACATCTGCCTCCTCGGTTTGGCTCTGTCCTCCACCGGAACTGACCACAGACCTTCCGTCTCCCCAGCACTGTGGGCTCTACATTTCACCTTGCCTCCAAATCCCAGAGGGGCAAGCCTTGTGACCTAAAGTATTCTGTGTATGCTTCTTCTCTGTGGCCCAGACCCTCTGCTGCTTTCTGCTGGGCTTCATTTAGGCTCCTAAGCAGAACAGTCTGCTTCTGATTAAGGCCTTTCAGAGGACAATGATCCCCGGAGGAGGGAAAAAGAAGTCCTCAGTCCCCTGAGGACTGTTCCCTTCCTTAGGTCTGAATTTCCTCCCTACCAGAAACTGCCAGTGGGTCAGGAAGAAGTCACTGGGTCAGTGATAGTTCTTGATGATGTCAGAAACTTGACCCAGAGGCCAGGGAAACCTATGCATATAGTAGCAGTGACAATTATACTGTCATTCCAAAGCTGGCAGCAGTGTTCTGGACTGTGGGGATGGCCTTCAAAGGCCTTCGGCAAGACTGGGTAACACCCTCCTCCAGGGAGATCCTTGTTTTCACGGGGTAAAGTCAGATCAGAACTGGAAAAGGAGACAGGTGGCAGCTGGGATCTGAGGGAGCCCCCCCTTCCCTGGAAGCCCTGTGAAGGTCTTTATGGCTGGGTGAAAGGCTGGGAGGAAGTGATTCTCCTAGGTATTGCTGGAGATTCCCAGGTGCTGTTGATGCTATGGAAGGCATGGTCAAGGTAGCGTGTCGTGTGTCTTTCTCCAGTGATGCCTCCTTTTTCTTCAGAGGTTTGTAGCAGAGTGAACGTGTGTGTCCCAAAGCCTCGGCACACGTGATGAAGGGAAGGTAGAGGGAGGGTCCTTTCCGAGCAGACTGGTCCCTGGTTCTCCCCAGGTTTCCGGGTCCTGGGCTTGGTGGGGGCACTGTGCTCAACCTCAGTGGCATATTGGCTTTCCTCCACAGCTGTAGTTGAAGAACAAAAGTGGACTTTGCCCACATGTCCCCGGGGACTCAGAAACACCTGGTGTGACTTTGAGAAGAAGCCAGGTGCTGCACATGGAAACTTGAAATGTGAGCATGTTGATGCCAGGCTGTGGACCTGCATCTGGGAAGGACCACAGAAGCCACAGCCATTTTGCCTGCAGGCAGCCAGGCAGATCTACATCTGTGACACACCTGCTGTCAGGGCACCTGTAGTCAGGACAGCTGCTGGGATGGCCCCTGGGACAAGCTCCCAAGGCACCTGTGACCAGTCCACCTGCACACTCCTGGGTAGGGAGACGTGGCTCCTCAGGGCCCGTGCACCTGGCTGAGCAGACAGGCAAGGTCTCCCAGGGTCTGAAGGTCACCTGGCCATAGTCATTTCAAAGAGGTCAGGAATTGAAATATTGCCTGCTGGAGGGAGGAGAGGAGAGAGTGTGTGGGAAGCCATTCTGCCCGCACCCAGGTTTCCTTGCCCCCGCAGCTGGTTCTGCCTCCGTGGGGTGGACGTGGCTGCCTGTGTTTAAGGCTGTCCTTCCATTGTCTTTGAGGCTCGTATATCCCTGTGCTCACTATAGGGTGCTGCTGTGTCCAGGCCTTCCCAGTGGACCCAGGAAATTTCCATGATGCTGTTTGATCTCCTTGATGCTTCTTAGGAATAACTTTTTGTGAGGTTAACTTAGTGGTTGTCTTGGAACCAGAATGGAACCCAGTGACAATGGAAATGAAGTCAGGCCCAAGAGTTGAGAAATTGGGCATCCTTGCATCTCTCTGGCTAATTAGATTCCATAATGCTCATCTCCTGGGGGGCTGGGCTGTGCAAGAGAGGACAGCACAGACATTTTTCCTCCTCCATTTGGGTCCACCTCAGAGACGAAGTTAGGAACAAATTCACAGGGGGATGTAATGAAACAGCAGGACGCTTGGGCATCTGTTGGCCCCTGGTGGACCCTCTAGAATGAGCCCACTGTCTGGCTCCTGGCGGGGTTTTGCACCATTGGGCGGCCCAGAGCTCTGGCCTGAGCTGTGGTCTGAGGCTCTATCTCTTCCACCTACCTGGGGGCCCAAAGCTCTGGCCTGGGCTGCGCACTGAGGCTCTATCTCTTCCTCCTTCCTGGGTAGAGAGGAGGACGTAACTTATGAGATGCCAAGGGTTGAGCTGTGTCCCTCAGAAGATGTGACCACATCTGGAGAAAGGGTCTTTGCAGTTGTGAGTAGGGAGGGAAGATGCAGTCCTCAGGGTGGCCCTCAGCCAGTCTGGCGTGGGTCCTTGCAGGAAGAGGAGGGTGCTCCGGGACAACAGACTCAGATGGAGTGAGGGGTGGGACGCCGAGGAGGGTGAAGGCAGCCTGCAGCCACCAGGTGCCCCAAGGGGCCGGGAGCCTGCCATTGGCCACTTCCAGCCTCCAGAATGCTCTTCCTGCTGCTCCAGCCTGTGTTATGATGGCCCCACAGGCTAACCTGGGATTCTGAGTTGGGGGCTGTTGGATTCCCCCTGCCGCATGGAACTGTCATGGACAAATCAGTTTATTTTCTCTGAGCCTCAGTTTCACAAACCAGAAAATGGAGAAATGCAAAAGCAACTGCCCTGTCCAGGGCTCCCGCAAGGATGGCTGCACTGTGTATGGTCCAGCCGTTTGCTGGCTGCAGAGCTCTCTATGGTGGGACACTAGGCGCAGGCAGGGTGGAGGGAGCTAGGTCCTACAGACATGCCTCTTCTCTGCTCTCACCTGTTGCCTGCTGCGGGGCAGCACTGTGAGGTGACCCCAGTGGGGAGGTGGTGTGTGTGTTTGGTGTGTGCTGTCCCAGGTCCCTCAGAGGGTCAAGTTGCTCCCTCCAGAGTGCCCTCATAGTGTGGCAGCTGGCTGCCCTCAGAGTGGCTGCTGAGAAATGGGGACAGAGGGAGCAGGGAGCAGGATGTGTGTGTGTGTGTGACCTGGTCTGTGGGACTGTGTCCCATCGCACCAAGCCAGCAGGAGAGGAAGGTTCACCTCTTGGAGGGCGGTGTCCTGAAAGTTTGAGGATCTCTGGGAATGCCCCCTCTCTGGGCAGGGCTTTGCCTGTCTTACCCTGGAGGGAATCTCAAGCTCCTGGAGGGTCTGTCCCGGTACCCTGATGCCCTTCCACCTAACTCAGGGTCTGTGGCCATACTCCTGGTGTGCAGATTTGATCCATTCACACTCAAGCCAGAGGGTCCTCAGCTCCTGGGTCCAGCATCACGTTCAAACAGGGACAAAGGAACCACTCCAGAGAGTTCAATGACCCACACAGTTCTGCAGGTACACCTGCAGCCAGAGCAGAGGAAGGGGCCAGGCCGCCTACTCCAAGGCCACTCCTAGTCTGTCTGTCTGTCTCTCTCCTCTGCCCCTGCCCCTTTCTATCTCTCTATGTGTCTCTCTTTCTCTGCCTGTCTCTCTGTCTTTTCCTGTGCCTGTCTGTCCCTCTCCTTTTCTCTGGGCATCTGCAGCTATGCTACATTGTCCCCTCCTCTTTTGATTCTGAGCGCTTTTCTCTTTCCCTTTCTAACTTCCCACCCCAGAGGTTATTAGAGAATCACATGGACAGTTACTTGTTCTATTGAGACAAACAAAAGAAACAAAGCCTCTTTGTTATGCAGATAGACTTCAGCTTAAACAAAATGTGCACCAAACTCCATAATAGAAACATTTTCTTAAATATAACTTACCTTCCTGATCCTGAAACCAATACTTTGTTGCAGAGAATTTGGATTTTTAATAGAGAGCACAAAGGAGAAAATCAAGACTGTGTTATTCCATGCTCAGGGATGATAGGTGGACACTGGGGTATGTGCCCTTCATCTTTGCACACACATGTGCACACACATTCCTTCTTGGTTTTTGTGTGTGCATTGTTTAATAATCTACTTCTTTCATGTTAGCTTTCTGTGGTGAACATTCTCCAGGCTAGCATTTTTCTGTGGTCTATTTTTAATGATTGTGTATTTTAAATTTTTACTACATGAATATCACAGTTTATTTAATCTATTATTATTGGTCATTTAGGATCCATGAAAGGCTTTGCCACTAACAGAAGCACTGTGCTGGACATTCTTGATCCACACCCGTGCTGTCCTTGGCATGCACTCCTGGATTGAGGGAGTCCATGCTGACCTTCAGAAAGATTGTGCTCATCTCCAGCTTCCTGAGCAATGAAGGTACTGCTTCTCCACACAGGTAGCTGTGGCCAGCATAATTTTTTCCTGCTGTCGATGTTTAATTGTATTCTGCTGGGATCAGAAAGCATGTTCTGTATGAGGTAAATGTGTTCTAAGGCCAGTGTGGTGTGCCTTGGGAACAGCACGGCTCTGCTGAGGTCGGCGTGTCCTGGCTCAGCCTCTTGAAACCCTCATGTACTTTCTGCTTTCTGCACTCATCTGTTAGTTACCAAAGGAGAGAAGCTGGCTTTCAGCTTGTGTCCCTTCCTACCAGCTTCTATGTTCTGTGATTAGGGCCATGTATGTTCTGGTCCTGGCTGGGTGTGTAGATCGCAGTCCTAACCCCTGATTCTGGTCCTGGTTGGGCCTATG